GCCTTCTTACTTTTGTATCATTTCTATTAATGTATTTCTAAAAGAAAACCCTTATTTTGGATAAAATGATTCAGCTTAGTTGCAATAATAATACGAGCATCATAAATATTACAGCCGCAGCAAGTTAACTGTTCACAATACTAGTCAACTCGAAGTATGTCAAAGAAATATATTCTCTCTCACACTAAATTAACTTCTATGTGCTTTAATTAGAATATAATTCATTAATAAAACAAGAAGCCTAAAATTAAATTTCTTAATTAAAAAAACCCCATCACACGGTATTTGATAAAGACATGCAAGAAAATGAAAAGATATTTATGACTTACAGTCCATGCGGGTGCTGAAGATGATAAAAATCTCCACAAAATGTATCCTTCCATCTGCTAAATCAAGTTCATGCAACGTCAGATCCATGTCGATGATCTTAATAGAAAAAATAACAGTCCCACTATTGAAAATACGGATGGCTAAACTACGAGGACACACACTCCCGATTCACGATGAACAGGTGAACCCAACGACCCCAAGAAAAGCGTAGACAAAATCAAACCGCTCATCAACAAAAGATCAAAGGGGTTTGTCGAACTGAAGTCAGAAGCCCGACCATCAGCAGGTACCAGAAGAATCCGACTACTTTGCTACAAAGATTCGCTAGTTCTTTGGGTCAAAAACGACGATTTCAGAGATGGTTTTCTCCTGCAAAGAAACTATTTAATCACTGATGCGTGAAGGTTCTCTCTAGGAAAATTTTTCCCCCGCTAAAGCGAGAGCAAATAGTGTAATGTGAGAAGTGGGTGTAACTAATCCCCCAACGGTGTGCATCGAACAGTAATGGTGCTCAAGCAACATCAGTTATTCCTCTTGGATACGCTTCGAGTGGTAACCAAAAATTTATTTCTTTTCTGTGGCTCGTCTCTCTTTTGTCCCCAATGAAAGGAATTGCCCTGATAAAAAGGGATTCGTGTATATTTTTTGTTCCTATTTAATTTCTGTCAATTTTAACAGAGATTCGAATCGCAGAAAATTTCGTCTCTTAGCGGATTCGTGGAGTGTAGTAGAAGCCGGATGTAGTTAAGTTAGGATGGCATGTGTTCTTGAAGTCCTTTATGGAACTTTTTTTTTTTTTAAAAAAAAAAAAGCCATCTCATATCACAAATGTAACAATTTTCTGAAATACAGTTGCTTGTATTCTTTCTTTTTTTTTTTAAAAAAAAGAAAGGAATTTGTTCTGGAATAAGTAAATGTTTCGAAAAAGACTTATAAATCGGAAAAAAAATAATCCATGTAAAAGAAGATGCTAATCGTTTTCAAGATGTATTTACTGTTTAAAAAGTCCGAAAAGAAAACCTTTACTATTCACTTCTGAACTTTAATTTTTAACTTTTGTTATTTTCGTATCTATTCATCCTCCTTTATTATTATTATTATTATTATTATTTTGAGAGAGAGAATTTAAAATTTTTTTCCCTTATATTATCCTTCAAAAATTGCTAATTCTATACATATATAAATGGATGTTTGTATATATATGACCTCGCTTCACTCCAACACTATTCAACCGATCACTATGAAAATTAGCATGTGTATGTATTTTTTTATGGAGAAGGTTTTTGTGCTATCCTCTTTGTTTCTGCTCCCCAGGCACTACAGCATATCAACTTCTGCACCGTTCAATCAATCGCCATGTCGCCAACAGGGTCACCAAAAATGATGCCAACTTGGCTCTATCGCCAGCATGTCGCTATGTTTCCATTGAATCGTCATTTATAATGTACGGAATTGCTAACGAATATTATAATTTTAACAAAAAATAAATACAACAGAAAGTAATATTAACGTATTACACAGCCAGATATAAATTATTGACACTATTTTAAGTGTTCTTTACAAAACATTTGTAACAATGTGTTACTTTGGCTGAGCAGGTGGTGGTGTCAGGAAGGTGTTTTCAAAAATCAACCCACAAGAGTTACGGGCCGTTATATATATAAAAAATTCCTTTTTATCAGCTATTAGATCAACAGACTTAAAATTTAACAAATACGATTTTTTCGTTCAGCTGAGATATGCAAAAAGCTTTTTTTTTGTTTAATGTGCAATTCCCGTAAAATCAACACATTAAAAACTTCTTTATCCTTCAATCTGTATTGTTAAATTTTTCAATCCACCCTTGCGAAAAACGGGTATACCAGCTAGTACACCATAAAATAAAGTTCATTAAAAGTAACGGTAAAATAACTTACATGAAAATATTTCTTATAATAGATAAAATATTATTATAAAGGAAAAATATTTTACATTGTATTATATACGCACATAATGTTCACTCCATATTCAAGCTACAAAGCTTTACAGTTTTAATGAGTCGAATTTAAGTTTAGTTTTAAAATCCGTAGAGACTATGTCCTACCTTTGGCACTTATTCTTGGCATCCATCAATTAATTCATTACCTTTGATTTCACAAAAAAACAGAACCAACTTATAACCACACTATTCTCACACAATGAAATATATCTTCGATTCCAAAAGTAAACGGGGCAATCTTTAGTCCATCAGTCCAATGCACTTCTGCTCGGTACGAATAGTAGTTTTCAAGCTGAGAGTAAAATATTAGCCAATGACAGTCTTTAGACTAAATGACAGTTATCATGATGAATGGCCCGATGATGGAGTTAATGGGAGTGGCTCTTCCATCTGTCAATCAAGATTACATTTCCCTCCGCCTTTGAGGTATACTAACTTGAAGAAAGGCAACACTTGAGGTGAAAAGCGTATATGATACAATGGAACCGTTTGACCACCTACTAACAATAATTCATTTATGAGCGGCCTAATGTTGACTATATATTCATAGTATAGGCAAGAAGTAGAAAATAAATCTGGGAATATATATGCAATGACAGATAGAGGTAATCAGGCAGCCAACATTATTCAAGCTTTTTCTGTATGTTACAGGCAGCTAAGGTGGCAACTGAATTAGGGTGATTATGATTTTTGAAGAACATTTTTTGTTTGTTTATTAGGAGAAAAATTGTACTTCAAAACGCGCGCGCGGAAAGCTTTTCATAACGATTGTGGCTGAGTGAATAACAAAATAACTTTTTTTAAATCTCAAATTAGTTTAGTGGATTGTTTTTAGGTTTTATTTAAACAATATACAAAAGGTCTGTGAACTAAGAGTCGCATTCCCTCTAAAAATATTTCATCTTAAAAATAGTTTTTAGAACAATAGTTAAATACCGGATTAAAAATTTGAATCCCCTCCATACACATACAAAAAGAAATAATAAATTCTTTTTTATTTCATTAGAACTAAGGGCAGATATGAACCAAAATTATAAGATAACGAATGCTTCATTTTAGATCTAAAAAAAAAAAAGCGTAAGTTGGGTAAAATAAAAAAGGGGGACATTTTATTCATTCAAAAGGACATAGTTCCATTCAACAGTTGAAAGTGACTAAGAAAAAAAAATTCATGTCCTCACATAAAGTAAATTTTCCTACAATGGATTTTACTTTAAAATGAAAGAGCAATTTTGGCATTGTTTTAGGATGAAGACACAAATTTTGATAGCTTATAAATCTTTTTATTTTCATACTTTAATTAAATTCTGTCTAAGTCTCCCAAACATGAGATAGAATTAAACATAAAAATATAAATGTTGATGAAATTAATGCTGTTTTTGAAGAATGTATTAATTGGTTGAATGAAACAAAAATAAAAGAAATTTAAGGTATCAGACTAAATTCGCACGCGCGCGGAACCGGGATTTTTGAAAAAAGTTTGGATGAATAATTTTTTGATATTTAGCGTCAACTGAATTGCAATACACATATAAAATTGTTAAGAATATTATTACAAAAAATTATTTAAATATAATTTTTCTGGCAAAAAAATGAAGAATGACATATTTTTAAACCATTCCTTTTTTTATGTAAAATGTTTCTAAAATAACATTTTGCTTATATATATAGCAAGAACTTCTTCCTCTATACATGGTCTGAACTAGAGCTTTTGAAATATATAACTTAGAAGTGGATTCATCTATATTTTAATGCATCAAAGTAGAGAAATTTTAACAAAAAACTGATTATTATTTCAATTGACCTAACTCTGAAAATAATGTGAATTGTTTTAAAAGTCGTAGTTAGTTAGCTACATATAGTAGATAAGCAAGTCTTAGTTATAAAAAGGAAAAATATTATTACAGGATAATTTTTCATAAAAGAAGAATGTTTTGAAAATATGCTATTTATTTTTCTTTCTTAAGCGAGAAAAAAATGCATTTAAATAATTTTTTATTATAATAATATTCTTAAAACAGCTTTATATGCATATTCTAATTCACACACACAAGTCATGTTAAATATATTTTTAAAAAGTTATACATTTACATGTTTTTGAAAAATCATGAATCCAAACGTAGATAATTTAAACAGGGGAAAACAAATTACCGTAAAATCCAGCGTATAACGAATGCGCTCACTTTCAAGCTGAATTTTTTAATTTTTAGGTGTATTCGCCGTATAACGCACGCACCCTTTTTTTACAAAGAAACCTGAAGTGTGCGTGCGCAATGCTGTTATGTTTTGAAATCCTTCATCAGTTATTCTTCCAAGCGTTAGAAAAAATAGTACACTTCGAGAATTACAAACCTTCAAGTTCATAGAAAATATAATTTCTTTTAAATAAACAGTATTTGATAAATGTAGAAGCCAAATTTTTTTTCTACACTCATCCTTTTTTCAATTCCTACTATTAGTTCACTCTCTCTCCCTATATATATTATTATTATACATAGCTGAAATTTTCATTCATTAATAAAAATACATTCAAGTTCAAATACATTTTTTAAAACTTGTAGTGGATGGCATTTGATGTTAATACAGTTTTTTCAAATATATTAATTCATACATTAAATTAAAAAATGAATAAATAGTAACAAACAAAAATAATAGTCCAACTGCATGTACAGAAAGGAAAATCATTTGTTGTGTTCCTGTAGCGCAATGGATAGCGCGTTGGACCTTTAATCCAAAAGGTCGTGGGTTCGAACCCCACCTGGGATGGCATAATTTCTGAGAATGTGATTTCTTTTTTACTATACCATTTCATTAGAATAATTAAATTTAATTAACGAATAAACAGTAACAAACAAAAAGTAGTCCAACACCCTATATAGAAAGGAAAATGGAAAATTGCAAGGAAAATCATTGTCTATTTTGTTACTTAATTTTGTGATTCTGTCATATGTATATTGTATATATTTATATTAATTATAATTATTTAATACAAAGTAGTTAAAATAAAATTTTTCTTCGTTGACCTAAGTAGAAATTAACTTAATTTTTTTTAATATAACATGTTTATTCTTAAAACTCATTTTTACACCCAGCGTATAACACGCACCCGTAAATTTCGACCTTATTTTTTGTGTAGAAAATGCGCGTTATATGCAAGATTTTACAGCAAATGAACAGCAATGTGGCTTCATTTATGGACGATATAAACTATTAACAAGTGTTTTTAAGAGAAAATATTTAACATCATACATCAGATAATTTGCGATTTAATTTTTGATAAGTTTGATTTGATTTTGTTAGCGTCGTTGCAGAGAAACGCGAAGATTAATCTGGGGATAAATCTATAATGTGCGCCAAGTAATTAAATTTCGGGTAGGATGTATAGTACATAAAATTAAAGTAAAATGTTGAATTTTACTACTGCAAATTATTTTAATTCACTTCCCTAAAAATAAATACAACCGAGTGCAAAAAGTTAGTAATTAATGTACAATATACAATAAAGAATGTAACTCTATTGACAGCTATTTATATTACTTAAAATACGTTTTTACTATGTGAAAAAAATATTTACGCAATATGATTCAAAATACGTAATTTAAAAATTAACCACAATTTGCACATAATGAATACCTTTATTAATGTATATTCCAAAAAAATAAAAAAAATTCTTGCTTGTTCGGAGAGGAAAAAAAAAGTGGAAAGAATTTAGAATTTTTTTTTCTGTGACGCAGCTCTAATTTCTACATAAAGTATTTGAATTCCACGCATACGGTCATATATTTTTAGCTAGAGACATACAGCATCAATAATGGGAGAACTGTTTGTCAAACATTTAACAACTGTCATTATAATTTGGCATTTATCGCATCAAATTGTTCCTTATTTGTTAAAAAGAAAATATCCATGGAATTGATTTAACAAAGCCGCATTTCCTGATCTAAACTTTATGGACTAATATTTAATGGCAGTTATTCTTTTATACAAAATGACTTAGTCATTGCAATAAATTTTAATTTAAATCTATTAAGAAAATATTAAATTCAACGACTAATTTTATCTTTATCGCATTTTGCGGAAAACCAATGATTTCTTTTATTTTGCCGCATGCGCTTGAATGCGTCACGTATGCCCAGAAATTAAATTTGTCTTAACCACGCCTCTTATTTAGTCCTCAATGACACGAACCCGTCGTACCTTTCATTACGCGTTTCAAGTACATCAACCCAACGTTATGGGCAGCCAATGTGATTCAAATGTATTTTATTTCTAGAAACCAGAAAGGAAAGTTCCTCCGCGTATATAAACGGTTGGTAATTGGCGGAGAAAACGAAATGTCGCAAATCAAGGAAGAATTTTAAAAAATGTCCCCAGAAAAAAAATCCATGACAAAAGTAGTGCGTAAAAGTAAAAATACAAACAAAAAACTATCGATATTTTTCCCTCCGGGAGATATGCAGTTAGTCGAGTTTTAACAACTCGATGATAATATGCATTTTTATAATTAAACGAACCACACACAAACAAACGTTTAAAATGGCCTAAATTGATCGAATCCCCCTTCCCCTCACACACATATCACCTATAAGAAATCTTTTTGCGCTGTTCGGTTTATATTCCTCAAAAATTGTCATTCAAATCAATCCAAAAGAATTTATTTTACTCACCGGAGAATTTCTAGCTTTTAACTTGGCTTACATTAAGCTCTAGAATTAATAATGACAAGGTGAGATATGAAAAATGCACACTTTACCAAATACTTTCAAAAAATTTATATGAAATGTAAAGCAAAAAGATGTTGGTGAGGTCAAAAGATAGAAAATATTTATTTAAAAGTAAAGGGGAAAGATTATTAATACATTTAATCTCAAAACTTAAAGAAAAACTACGGCTATGGAAAGGTTCAACTTAAAATTACTCTATTCGCTGTCTCCAATCCAATACAGAGACATTATGAAAATTTAAAAATGGAAAATATATATGAAAAAGTTTCTGTTGAACAAATGTAAAAAGTGGTGCATTTAATTTGTGATATAAAACCTGATGTTTTATCATAAGAAAAATGTCAATGATTAACAATTACGAAAGAATCTCATTTCTTTACTTATGCAATATGTAGTATTTCTATTTTAAATGGAAATTTAATAGATTGTAATCTGCATGAATCGCGTGAAATGTTACTTCTCAAAATTTTTCGATATATTGGATTATTAAGAGGACATAAAAATTCCTATTGATTAATATTTCGTTATCATTTGAGAAAGGGCAATATTTTATTTTGTCTTTGGCAATCTACAGCAATAACAATGATACGTCTCGATCTTTGTGGTCTTTCTAACATCTAAGTTTTAATAAAATAGGGCATTATATCATACAAAATTATTGACTTGTTAAAATCTTTGTTTTCATACAAATGTTTATATCAACTTGGTAGTACACATATTTTTCAAGTAATAATTATTGGAAATGAATGAATATTATTAATGAATGAATGAATATTGTTATTTTTCAAACAATTTTTATAATATCTGTTCAGCAACAATGTTTAAATCCTATATTCATGTGCTTTTGGAAAGGTTTAAAGCACATTCATATTAAATACAAAGTTGACCGGGTTTTTAAATTTTAAGTTTTTACATAACAACCAGTGTTGTTACTTATGCCACCTGAACGGAAAAGGCCAGATAGAGGCTCTTGAAATTTATCAAGGCAAAGAACTAAGTGACGCCTGTCGTTCGTCGTAGCTTTGAGCGCCATGTAGGTAACAGTACGATTTGGCTCGTTTCCCTCCCAATTTTGAGAGAGAACACCTTGGGGATGGTACAGGGGCATCCCACCTCTCTTCCCCTTCCACCAACCTCACGAGAGGACTTGCAGCTCTACTGCTATTTTGAGTACCCCCATGCCGCGAAGGCCCTATACATTCATTAACATCCGTGACTTCCCCGGGTTTCGAACCCATGCATTACGGCACAGCAGTCAGCGTCACTAACTATTTACTATACCGGTTGATTGATTGAATATTAACGTCGCATTGTTCAGCTACTCAAGGACTTTTGGCCACGGATCACGTAATTTTGAACCATGGTCAAGTGACGTGGACGACACCTGAGCTGGCACTCCCCTCTCCTAACTACCACACCACACCAACGGGAGAACGTTTGAGCTCTCGACAGATTTAACGTGCATCGCTGCCCTACACGGCGGGTTTTTAGTGGTACTGTGCTCGAACTCATGACAAGGCAAGCCACGATCCGATACCTATACCACTTGGCTACCGCGGCCATAACTACTATACCGGATGGGTTGTTATGTTACTAATGCCACCTGATTGGCAAAGGCCAGATCAAGGCCCACGAAATTCATCATGGCAAAGGGCTAAGTGACGCCTGTCGTTATCCGTAGCTTTGAGCATCATACAGGTGACAGAAGCTCGGTTTCACCACAATTTTGAGGGAGAAAACTCCGGGGATACCGGATGGGTGACACATTAAATGAATGATGAATGAAATTAAAGGAAAAATATACCGCTTTTTTTTCTCACCGTCAATCGAGATTGGGAAGGGGGTGAAACTCCCCATGAAACTATGCAGTAGTAAAGGGATTCACAAAAAAACCCTACTTTTTTGTGCTATGTCAGTCACAAAACTTTACGGGATACTTTTTCATCGCTAAAAAAACGGTATCAGGTAGCAACACAATCTGGATATCTTGCTAATTTGGTTACTTCCCCGACTGCGTGAGGACAGCACAAATTTTGTGTTTCAATAGGATGGAGCCCTAGTTCATTGCCTTAGTTTGTTTGTGTTTATGTAAGAGATGAGCTTCCATATCAATGGGTGAGGGAATGGGTGACAATGATTAAACCTTAATCACATGGTCACGAGCCTTACTCCGTATGATTTTCTTAACAGTGCTGCATAAAAGACACACGGCTTATATACCACTGATGTGAATAACACTGCAAAAATGCATTTGTATAAAATTAGAAACCATTAATAATGTGATACTACAAAACAAGTGGAAAGAACTTTATTACAGGTTAAATGTTTTTCATGTAATAAGGGTCATACATCGAACATTTGTAATTGAAAATAAAACTTGGCATATCTTTCTTTAATTTCGTGTATCACTTGTATGCGTAACATTTTCGAAAATACAAATTTATAAAATCCGGTCATTCATTTGAGCTAATCCTCCATTGTGCGATATGATCAATAGCAAGATTTACAAAGTATTGAATATTGCAATTTTAATTTGAATAATCATGTGTCACGTTGAGAAGGTCACTCCGTTTAAAGATGATGTTGAAATATCAGATTTAAAAAGTAAAGCAAAAGAACAAAACTATACACCAATTATTCAAAAGGGTTAAAAAGGATCAAAAGGGCAGTCAAAACACAAAAATTTCCTCACAATTTATTTGTTACAAAGTATAACTAATTTTAAAAGGAACAAAATTGTAATACTCGATTTAAAAAGTAGTTTCAAATGCGCATAGAGAGAACGAAAATAAGTGCATAGGATTAGAAAAAAGTTGTTCTCGGAACATTTTAAGTCCATGTATGTGCATGTGTGTGTGTGTGTAACCGTAACTATTCATCAAAGTCATAACACCATGGAAAAGAAATTACACACTTGATTAAAATTCCACACCTAGCAACCAAGCCCTTACGATAGACAAGATCACACTGAGATCGTGAAAAATTTAAATTTCGAAACTCTACATGAGTATAAAATAGACTATCTTCTCGTAATATTCACCT